AAGCCCTTCCTTTCTTTGTTTCCCACCCCTCACTCACTGAAGAAAATGAAGGAAAGGAGGAGAGGGAGGGAGAGAAAAAGGACCAAACATAACAAGTTTTGGAAGAAACATAAAATATATATATATAATTCTAATTTGCTGCTGGTGGGAATAAAATGGTACAACCAGTTTGGAAAACACTATTAATTTTTTAAAAAGTGAAACATACATATACCATTTAATCTAATCATTAAACCAAAAGAAAGGAAAGCATATATCCATACAAAATCCTGTACCTGTACATTCACAGCAGCTTTATTCACAATAGCCTGAAACTGGAAATAATCCAAATGACCAACAGGTAGATAAACTGCAGTATAGCCATACAATGGACTGAAAACGAGAATGTACTTTTGATATGTACAATATAGTGAATCTCAAAATAATGATATTGAGACCAGCAGTTAGCGTAATGGCTATGTCGCTGGGCTCCCATGTAGTCAACCGCGGTTCGAGTCACAGACCCGTTGGCTTAAACTCATGTCAAGTGTGTGTATGTGCGTGCCCAAGATCATGAGAGGAGAATAGAGGAGAAGGGACTGTAGTGTGGCCATCCCCCTTGGGGGGTGATTTCTCACTTTCTCACTCTCTGTCTCTCTCTCTGTCTTTCTGGCAAGCGCAGGCACCCTATAGTAAAAACCTCTCCAAAAAAAGGAAGAAAGATAATAATGGTATCAATTGCCAGAAGCCAAATAAAAAAATTAGTACATACTCTGTGATTTCACTTAACTGTGAAGGAACCAGCAGATGGCATAATGATTACGTTGCTAGACTCCCAGGTAATCAACAGTGGTTCGAGTCCCAGAGCTGGTGGCTTAAAACTCATGCTGGGCGCGTGTGTTGTGCGCCAAAATCCCAAGAGAATAAAGGAGAAGGGATTGTAGCATGGCCATGCTACCTGGGGGGTTATTTCTACTTTCTGTCTCTCTGTCTCTCTCTGGTTAGCACACATACCCTATAGCAAAAATCTCTCTAAAAAACAAAACAAAACTATAGAAAATACAAACTGGTCCACAGTAATGGAAAAGAGGGCAGAATTTCCTGAGACAAGGAGAGACTACATGAAGCAGAATAAAGGGATTATGAGGGGTATGAGGAAGCTTTTGGAAGTGATAAGTATGTTCACTGTTTTGATCACAGTGATGGTTTCATACAAATGTATATGTCTGATTTATAAAGCAATAAAACTTTAAAAATGAACAGTTTACTGTATGCCAATTAACCTTTATAAAACTACTGAAAATAATAAAATTATCTCTATGCCCTAAGAACTTAGAATCTACTGTATAAATTTATTCTATGAAGGTTCAGCCATGGTGGTGAATAACAGCCCTATAATCCGTAATGCTGGAAGCCAATGAAAGATGGGGGCTTGGTTCCTAGGTCAACCTATACATGCAGAGCACAGTATATGCCCATGATCTTGGCTGGCTGGGAAGGCTGGGAAGCTCACTGCATAAGACCACACTCACAGTTCTTACCTCTCTCTTTCATGAAAGAAAAAAAAAATTCGAAAATAAATTTACTCTATTGAGATGAAGATATGAGGGAAAGGAAAATCCAAAAAAGTGGGCATAGATAAAGAGAGCAATAATTCCTCTTAATGGATACTAAATAATTTCCCTAAAGACCTAACTTTTAATTTTGATTACTTTATTATTATATTAACTTAGTGTTTTATTTACAAAATGCATTTGCATGTTTAAAATTCAAAAGAATTAAAATTAATCCACTCCAAGTCAGCAGATGATATGGTGGTTAAGGCTGCTGGATCCCAGAGGGCTGACTGGATGGTTCAGGTTCCAGACCCTGTAGCTTGAAAATCATGCCTGGAGTGTCAATGCCCAAAATTCCAAGAGGAGAATGGAAGAGAAGGGGCTATGATGTGGCCATCTTCCCTAGAGGATGATTTCTCAATTTCTGTCTGTCTGTCTGTCTCCAGGGAGCACATGTACCCAATAGCAAGAAAACTTGTAAAAAAAAAAAAAAAAAAAAAGGGAATCCACTCTATCCACCAGCAGTAAGTGCCCCTCCCTAAAGATTACCAATGTTATTAGTTGTATCTATTTAAAACAGAATTTAAGCCTAAAAATAAACTGCAAAAAATAAATTCTAGAGCATACAAATCATTTTTTAAATTACAAAAACCAATGTTTACATAAAGTAGTTTACATGGCTAGTAAGTCTGAAAGAGCCAAAAGCAATTTTAAAGGGAAAAATTCCTCTTACATGTTGTATAAAAATACAGTCTGAAAGAGCCAAAAGCAATTTTAAAGGGAAAAATTCCTCTTACATGTTGAATAAAAATACATACCTGAAGTAAACCTTATTTGGTTTCTACATCATAAAGTTTGTAATCCTTCATGTCTGGAGATATAGGGGAAGGTAGGTTTTCCCAGTTACCAAGAACATTGGCTAAACTGGCAAAGACTGGTTCTGTACAAAATGCCAAGCAATCCCTGTTTTAAAAAGAAAAAGTTATTTACTATTTTTTTTAGCATATTATCAAAATTAAATACACAAAATACTGTGGTTGTATTAAACTACCAATAAGAAGGTAGACTATTTTAGATTTGCAAATTTTAAAATAAATATAATATGCTTAAACCAATGAAGTTCAGAGGCTCTGAATATGTATTATTCTGGATAAATTATTAAGTCTTTCAAACTAAGCACTGTAACATTTGTGATAAATTTTTTAAAAGTTTAAGAAGTCAGGAATAAAACATTTTTAACTGTGCTTTTTCAAATTACTGATATTCTTTATGGTAAACCAATAAATACTTGAAAATACTGTTATAACTATGACATCATCTTTATTTCTGAGGCTGTAGTTTTCAGAATATGCTGAAAGCAACTTGCATATTTTCCACAGATGCCTCTGGAATAAGAGTCATGAGGAAGAGGGATGGGCGTAACTCCAGGTGCAACATGCCCACTTTAATCAGTGAGCTTTACCTATTTTATATATCATTCAGAAAGTTGTCACAGTTTTTTTTTAAATAGACATAATTTTATTACAAAATTGGGAAAAAAAAAAACACAAAATGCAACATCCTATAAAACCCAAAATTTACTATTGATACCAATTCCTCTGAGTGTGCTGTGCTACTATACACAAGTCAAGAAATTAAACATTAAGGAATATTCAACATCAGAAGCTATAAAATCTAACTGTATGTAGTAGCCCCTCTAAAAGCTACAACCTGCATTCTTAAAAAAATTTTTCTCTACACTCAGTCTCATCAGCTATACAAAAATCTGTACAGTTTTTATACTGAAGCTAATATTGAGCTACACTTGAATTCACATTCTTAGCAAAACAATTGTCTGAGCATACACACACACATTCCACACACATCATTACAGGATGGCCATTTATTCTTCAGCTTCTTCTTCTCCCTCCTCCTCCTCCTCCTCTTCTTCCTCATCTTCTGGCTCATTCTTCTTCTTTGAGCCTCTTGGCCTGCCAGGACCCTTCTTTCCTGCTCTTAGCACGGTATGCGGCAATATCTTTCTCATATTTCTCCTTTAGTTTAGCAGCTTTCTGTTCATTTATCTGTTTATCTTTGGGCCAACTATTCAGACCACATTTCACCCTGTTTTTTTTGCAATATTCCCAATGGACAGGCCTGGGTGTTCATTTTTTATCTTTGGGCAATGTTCAGAGCAAAACAGGAAGAAGGCAGATGGAGGCCTTTTCAGAGCATTGAGATCCTTTTTCTTTCCCTTCTTATCACCTTTGGGAGGGACATAATTTTCCTTCTCCCTGTCATAATAAGTTTTGTCACTTTTTGCCATATCTTCAAACTTCGACTTTTCCTTTGCAGACATGGTCTTCCATCATTCGGAACATTTCTTTGAGAATTCGGTGAAACTGACTGAAGAGTCTAGGTGCTTATTCTTGTGCTCTTCCTGGTAGGTGTGTGCAAAGAAGGCATATGAGGATATTTTGTCCCTCAGCTTGTTGGGGTCTCCTTTGCCTATGGTGACAGATGGCATCTACCTGGTGTGAGCTCTTCTCAGTCCTGCATAGCGGTTGGATCTGACAGAGAAGTTTCCTCCCCACGGTTCCAGCATGAACTGGTTTATCCCAGTTCATTTTTTTGAAAGAATTATTGGGTTGTTAGAAGTCATGACATATTTTTCTATTTTTCTATGCAAAATGCATCATGACTTTTCTGAAGACCCAATATTTCTTTATTTAATTTTATTTATTATTATCATTTATTTCTTAATTTGACCAGAAAGGGACGGAGAGAGAAAGGGAAAGTGAGAAAGAAAGCCCCCCAGGTCCAGGACTTGAACCTTGGTCAGACACATGGGAGGCCAGCACCTTAACCACCACACTACCTGCCAGCCCACGTTAATCATTTTTAGAATTACTGCTCTTTGATGTATAAGAAGCTTTGCAAATTATAAAAATGTTAGGTATTGCCATTTAATAGACTTACTGAGGAAGAGTTCAGGCTTTGAAGAAACAGTTACCTGACTTGAAGTCCCAGAATCTCTACACCCTGCCTTGATGGTGACACTGGACACTACTGCTCTTTGGCCTCACTCTATCCACGTTAAAGAGTCACTGCGGTCAAATGAGGTAATTGTGTATAACACACAGCAATGTGGATAGCATGTAAGCTCAATGAGTCCTTACTATTATTATAATTACTAAGCATTTGAGGATCAAGTCTTAGTTTTAGGCCTTGGGCTTTAGGTTCTTGCAATGAGAATGACAAGGTAGTACAACAACAAGACTATACTTAACTTCTGTACCTGGATAGCAATAGTTTAAAGGAAAGTAAGCCCTTTACTATTTCATCTGTCTGTAATAGCTCAATAACTTTTCTTCTGCCTTGAGCCTATTTTTCAAATGAAAGTATATGCAGAAGATCAATATATATCTCAATATATATGAAATAAAATGGCTGCTTAGATGGAAAGAGAAAAGGTCTCACTGCCTTGCCAGCTTAGTAATAGTCAAGATGCCATCTCATTCTTTACTCCCAGCACTCAGTTCATTAACAAAGTAGACACTATGCATTACTTGGTTGAGCTGCAAGAGGGGAAAACTGCTTAAATATTCAAGGAATACCTCCCCAACCATTAACTATTATTCTTACCCTTTTACTACCTATACCAAATTTAGCTTCCCACTATCTCTCAATAGATTTAGTCCTTACTCTACTTCTTTCCCTCCCTCCAAGTACCTCAACAATAACGTATCGTTTTTGCTATTCTTTACGAAAAACCTCTTGATCCTGTAATAACCATTACAGGTTTCCTTTATTTTCTAGTTTATATCATAAGCTGAAGAATTTTAAACACCCAGAGCCTTTATAAACTCACAGTATAAAATCACAAAGTATATTTTAACCTTGTTCTCTTTATTCAACATTCAAGTTCATTCATAATAAATTTAACTCATTATAGGACCCCTTTTACCCACTGCTTACCTATTAGCCATTTTCTACTTCCAAAACATGTACAGTTCCTCTAACATGAATAACCTCATTTGTCATCAACTTCACCTTAGTATGTTCATTCCTCATCTACCCTCCTTTGGGTTCTACCCATGGAGCTTTACTCACATATTATCTTCTCTGTTTTGTATCTATTTTCTAGTTTCCAAACTGTCATCCTACTGAAATTATTGAATGTCACTAACAACTTCTCACTAATCAAAAGTAATAGATTCTTTTCAGTACTTATTTCTTAGTCCCCAAGGTTAGTGGATCCTTTCCTCCCCCCTTTGATTTTCATAACGTGTTGCTAATTTTTCTCCTGCCATATGACAATGATTCCCCCTGTTTATTTTCCTGGTTTTTCTTTCCCCTACATTGAGAGGTTCTTTTCTTGGTACTATTCCCCTTACGCTCTTACTCTTGAAAAGTGTTTTATTTTTTTCATGGTTTTAATTACTGCCTCTATACTACTTACCCCTCATATGCTACTATATCATAACTTTGCAGTTTCATCAGAATTACTACTCTTGCTATAGTACACCTCCTTGAGGAAGTCTAGTGTCTTCTCAGTATCATTAGTCCATTAAAAACTGGAAGCTACTTTTCCTTCCCAAAGTGACCTTGACTCTATCAATGCTACTAAAATGTTTACAACCTAACAATTAAGATGTCTTAAAGTAATCCTTGACTCCTCATACTTGACAATGAATTCCTAGTTCTATATTTAAAACACTATACAAAGAGACTTTGAAAAGTTCCTAGAGATCAAGCAATGATATAGTGGTGGTACAACTGGACCCACATGGGAACAGTCCTGGATCTGCACTCTGGGACCTTCTTGAGCTTAGCAGTTGTAGGTGTGCATGCCTGTGATCTAGGCTATCTGAGACTGGGGTAGGTGAGACTGGGGGTGGATTGTGGTATGAAAATCCTGTTCAGGTGCCTCTGTCTCCGTCTCTCATGAAAAATAAATAAATAAATAAATAATAAACCTCTTTTAAAAGTTTGTGGAAAAATGGAATTAGAGTACGAGTTGATTTTGGTACAGAATTTTTTGAAAACCTTGCATAGTTTTTTCATAAGAAATATTTTCTGTGAACTTTCTGAACAGCCTTCATAAAAGCAGCTGTTGAGATAGAGAAAAGTATAACCTATTGCTCTTTCTCCCTTCAAGAGACTTAAAAATATAATTATAAAGGACTTGTTGAAATAACAGACAAGTGACCCTATAGACACAGAAGGGTGACCCTAAAGACACTGACAGAAAACACTTCAGAAAAAAACAGCACAAACAAATTTGGAGTCAGGAAAAGTGTGACAAACAAACAAACAAACAAACAAACAAAAACACTCCAGAAAAAAACAGCACAAACAAATTTGGAGTCAGGAAAGCTCAGGAAAAGTGTGGCAAAAAACAAACAAACAAACAAACAAAAAACCCTGAGTCTACTTTCAGATACAGATTCATAGCAAATGTGAAGAAACTCTTATTAATATTTCAAAGAGACCATACACAATGGAAATAAATTTTAGGAAAACATAAGAATTCAATACTTAATTTATAAGAATTTTTTTTACTGACAACATACTGTATAAACAGATTTCAAAGACAAGGTTATTTCTAACTATTTGAGATGTCTTCCATATAAACTTTTACAAAAATTTACCTGGATTCTTCTAAAGGATGTTGTACAGTAAGAAGTCGAGGGTGTCGTAGCCGAGTTAACTGTTGGACTCCTCGTTTCAGGGAATCAATTATTTGATCCTTTTCAAATTTTTGATATTTGTCGATCAACTTTTTATCAAAGACAAAAACAGCCACTTCCTAATAAAAGAAATATGTAAATGATTTTAGTCAAGAAACATATAGAAGTAATTAAATAATGATTGAGTGTCACAACAGTCTATAAATGGATAACTAAAATCTAACGCCATGGAAATTTCAGTACCATTGTAATATTTCTCTATAATATCCAAGTTTATTCATGATTTGTAAATTTACAAATTAAAAATATGAGACCAAGAGTCCTCATCTAAAGAGAACACAAAAATATGTTTACCTTTGAACCCTGGCATCAGAGCAATTATATAAACTGTGTGTAATGTACTCTCCTATACATAGTAATCTCTTTTTTAACCAGAACTCAGAAGTTAAAATGTTTTAAAATTCAAAGTATTATTCATAATAGCCCTGAAGTCTTGAAATGCTATTTGAAAAATAGGTCTTAAGTCAGGGAGTGCTTTTTACACAAAAATCTAATTTCCAAGCATCTTTTACATAAGACTAATCTATACTTTCTCTCATAGCACTTTATTCCTCATCTTGTTATAGGCAATAATTGTAAATTGTTATTAATTAGTACAGAAACCTGTTCCTGTAATAAATAAGTCAGTCAAAATATAGCATTAATTGAGAGTTGATATATGTAAGTGATGACACATCTCAGTATTACTACAAAAGAAAAAGGTGATAAAGTTGGAAGCAAAGAATATTAGCTTTTTAAAATTCTATAAACAATAGCTATAAAGTTTAAAATTCTATAAAATTAGATTTTCAATGACTAAAACTTCTTTTATAAAAGTCTCTTCTTGGACCAGCAGTTAGCATAATGGCTATGTTGCTGGACTCCCATGTAGTCGACCACGGTTCGAGTCCCAGGCCCAGTGGCTTAAACTCACACCAGGCGCGTGTGCATGCGTGCCCAAGATCCCAAGAGGAGAAAGGAGGAAAAGGGATTGTGGCATGGCCATCTCCCCTGGGCGGGGGTGATTTCTCACTTTCTGTGTCACTGTCTCTTTTGGTCTTTCCAGCGAGCACACGCACCCTATAGCACGGTCTTTCCAGCGAGCGCACGCACCCTATAGCAAAAACCTCTCCAAGAAGTCTCTTCTGAAAGCCTCTAACTAAACCTGCTATTTAATTAAGTAATATCTAAACTAATATCTCCACTAATATCTTTGCATTTTATTGTTTTTCTCTCTTTCAATATCTAAACTAATATCTTTGCATTTTATTGTTTTTCTCTTCTATCAATAATTATTTCCTTCTGATTTTCATTTTTGCTACATTATTTTCACAAGTTAGCCTGGCAACCTAATCATCTCACAGAAGTTTATTGCAGAATTCAAACTCAATCTGTTTGCCAAATATTATTTAAGTTGGAGGTTTTTTATACTCACACACACACATACACACACACACACATATATAAGTTAAAGATTTTAAAGGATTAAGCCTCTGAAAAGTGCTAAGTGATAACATGAAGGAAATATTTAGTAACTCAGTTCAAACATTCCAATTCCCAAGCATCTGTAAATAGGGTAGCATTTACTACAACTAATAGATGATGTACTTATACAGCCCTTAAGACATTGGGATTAGATCAGAATAGTTTGTATCAGTTTCCCTGTAAATAACTATGGGCAGGTTTTCTCAAGAGAAAAATGGGCTTAAATAATAGTACGAATACCTCAGAGGATCACCAAAGATTAATGACACTGAAAAACTTATCAAAACACGTGACATATTACAAGCATTCAGTAAATGTTAACTATCACTATTATACCACTAACACCAAGACTTGTACTTGGCTGTTTTTCTATTACTACTGGTGACAATTTTCTGCTGATACACATCTGATCCACAATATGCTTACTTAAGATGAATGGTCAAGAAGCATCTTTGAAATAAAAGGTTGAAACTCAACACTATACCAACCTAGTAAGGAACATTAATTAATACATTAGACTAAATAAAATGATGTGATACCACTCTCATATTACACAAATACAAATATTCAGTATGTAACAGTATAACAGTAGTTATGAGTCCAGTTTCTAGAGTCACACAAACCTAAATTGGAATCCCAGACCAGTCACTTACTACTGATGTTGACTTTAACTCAAACCTTGATCATTATTATTTTCAGGCCAAAGTCATAAAAGGAACAAAATAAAGAATGAAAACAATGTAAAACATTTTATAGCTGAAGTAAAATATTCTACTTAACAATATTACAAATAAAAGAAGTTCCTAATATGGTTTGAATGCTTGTATCCCCTCCAAAATTCACACTAAAACTTAAGAAGTAGAGCCTTTAGGAGACCATAAGCCCTCTGCCCTCATGAATGTGAATTAGAACCTTATGAAAATGCTGGAGGCAAACAGCTAGGTCTCCTTTTTGCCCTTCCATCGTTTCTACCATACAAGGACACAGCATTCATCTCTCCAAAGGATGCAGCAATAAAACACCATCTTGGAAGCAGAGAACAGTCCTCTATCTTGGAAGCAGAGAACAGTCTTCCTCAGGCACAAATTAGCTGGCATCCTGAGCTCATGAAAAGGTAGGAGAGAAGTAGCTAGGCCCGTTTTAGCTCTTCCATCCATTCCACCAAGTGAAGACACAGCATTCGTCCTCTCTAGAGGACGCAGCAACCAGATACAGAATAGCACTCATCTTGGAAGAAGAGACTAGCCCTCATCACACACCAAGTCAGTTGGCACCTTGATCTTGGACTGATCAGTCTCTAAAACTGTGAACAAAAATGTCTATTATTTATTATTACCCATTCTAAATTATCTTCTTGTAAGAGCAGAAATGGACTAAGACAGGGGCCAGTAGGTGGTGTCGTGGTTGGGGCGCTAGACTCCCATGTGACTTACTGAGGTTTGAGTCCTGGATCTGGCAGCTTGCTTTCTCTCTCTCTCTCTCTCTCTCTGGTGGGCACACATGTCTACAGCAAATTAATAATAATAATAATAAAATTAAATAATAATTTTTTAAAAAGAAATAGGCCATGACAGTTCTCAAGTTAATTAACTATTTCTAGAAATAATAATAGATAACATTTGCATAGCTATGTTTCCAAGCATCACACGAAGCACTTTTAAGGGATTATTCAACGCCAACAACCCTGTAAGTTATTGCTATCGTTTTTTTGTTTTGGGGGGGGAGAGGTTTTTGCTATAGGGCGTGTGCACTCACCGAAAAGACAGAGACAGAAAGCAAGAAATCACCCCCCAGGGGCGACAGCCATGCCACAATCCCTTTTCCTCTATTCTCCTCTCCGGATCTTGGGCACACATACACATGTGCCCGGCATGAGTTTAAGCCACTGAGTCCAGGACTCGAATCACGGTCTACTACATGGGAGTCTAGCAACATAGCCATTACACCAACTGCTAGTCCAAGTTATTGTTATCTTAACTGCACACATGAAGACCTTAAATGTTTTATCTAAGATCTCAAAACAGGTAAGATGAAGAGTCAAGATCCAAACCTAGACAATCTTAACTATAGGGGCAGATTCTTGGCCAAAACATCACCCTGTCTCCCTAGAAATAATACCAGACAATATGGAGTACACCAGTAAAACGTGTATGCTAAGTCATTAACTTGAGTGAGTGCTTTAAATAGCACTCATACTTGAACATATCATCTTAGCTCTTTTGATCATTATGAGATATAAAACAACCAGAAGGCAAGAGTTTTATGTAATATTAATTTGAGCTAAAAACAAATGACCTAGAAGTACAAGTTCCTATCTCACCATTCATGTGCACAATCTTATTTTAGTATGTGTTCTGCTATAACACATTTTATAAATTCATCTAATTTAAATGTGTTTTTTTCCTTAAGATATTTCAAGTCTTAAAAAAATAATCACATGAAGTAGCTCTTGAGCTCTTGTAGTTTTATCACTCTTAATGAGGAATATTATAGTTCACAAGGCAAAAGAACACAAAATTCTTCCAGATGTTCATTTATTGTTATAGGCCAAAGATGAGAGACTTCTATATAGGCCAAAATAGGTCATCAATTATTATCCAAATACATTCTTTGTTTTAAATAGTCCACTAAAATTAACCAATTTCAACAAAGTTGTGATAATTAACCCTTTACCTTTTCTAAAATAAAACTCTTACCCTGCACATCAAACCTTTCATCAGAATATATCATTATGTAGGGCCTGCAAATGATACAGAGGTTAAGGTGCTATATTCCCCCATGGCCAACCACAGTTCAAATCCTGGACCTGGTGGCTTTAAAATCATGCCAGGCACATATGTGTGTATGGCTAGGATCCCAAGAGTAGAGGGAATTGTGGTGTGAACATCCCCCTAGGGGGCTGATTTCTCACCTTCCTTCTCACTGTCTGTATCATCCCTCCCTCTCTCTCTGGCAAGCTCATATTACCCTACCAAAACCTAAAAAAAAAAAAAAAATCAAACTGTCATAACAGAATATATCATAATCTAATTCCTAATTTAGGTTTTCTTTCTACTGCTTTCCAATATTACCCACTCTAAAACATTATCATTTCAGTGAAAGTCACATCACCATATAAGTATCACAAACATCATGAAGAAATAAAAGGTAAACATGTATCCACCACAGAATCTAGCAGAATCCTATACCTAGAAGACACTCAGATGTTTACTACTGATAATAATTAAAGCTTTTTATTACCATTCAGAATTAAAATATTTTCAATTTTTCATTATAAAAGTCTCCAAATACCCAGAAAGATGAACTATTAAAATAATCCAACATGCTGTCCACTTAAGATTCAACAAGTAGGGACCAGCAGTTAGCATAATGACTATGTTACTGAACGCCCATGTAGCTGACCATGGTTCGAATCCTGGACCCGATGGCTCAAACTCATGCCTGGTGCGTCTGTGCGTGCCCAAGATCCCTGATGGCTCAAACTCACGCCTGGCGCATGTGTGTGCGTGCCCAAGATCCTGAGAGGAGAATGGTGGAGAAGGGACTGCAGCGTGGCCATCCCCCCCAGGGGGTGATTTCTCACTTTCTATCTCTC